TCATATGTTTCTTTGTCATATCTGATGGGTCATATCCCTGTGAAAACAGGACATAACATGAGTATCTACCGTGTTGTATGAACTTTGAGTAAGAGCACTCCATTCATGAGGCCAAGTATTGCTCATAAATGTCAAGGGGAAATATGGGACATTCAACCTGATTAACCTGACTAAAAGAAAAAGTTCCTGAGTGTGACTTTATGCTGTGCATACCCCCAAAGCAGTCATGTATGCCACTCCGAGCGAGAAAATGTAGCACTAATAAACTGGTACCAAACCTGTGTGTTCATCTGGTTTTATTATCTGTGTCTTCTAAATGTGTCTCTGGGCTGGTCCAATGTTTCTGTAAAGGGACAGGAAAGGCATCTGACATAGACCCATGAAATCTATATTCAAATGTTGATTAGAGACAGAAAGTGCAAGGGAAACGTTGGACCAGTACATCTCAGCCACTTGGCCTGGTTAGTACTTGGATGGGAGAGCTCTGGGAAAAACAGGTGCCACAGTGTGGCAGTAGTGGCTCTAGTGTTTACTGTTGTTATACCCTTTGGCAAGACACTTGCCTCATATGAATGTGCTGTGCTTGATTGGTGGACATATAGACACAGGTTGAGCATACAGGAGGCATGGAGACAGTTTAGCTCCAAACATTTCTGGTAAAGGGTCCATCACTTACTTGTCTCCTTGGAGATGTAATTTCTTTACCTATAATGTTCCCTGGTATGGCATTAAATGGAGCCAGCAGGTGAAGAAACCAGGCCAAGTTACAGGTCAGATCTACGAAAGGACAATCCCAAATAGTAAAAATGTGTTTTCACTCTTTTGTGCAGTGACAGCAGTGTTCAGCTCTGCCTGACTACGGCACATTTGCAGTTTTTCAATACCTGGTGACATTTACTTTCACCACTGTCACTCTCATCACAACTGAGAACTGACACTGGTCGTCCCGACCTGTTTGAATGTCCCAACACCAAACCACCACTGCTCCAGTGCCACCCAGTCCAGGGTGTGTACGTGGGGGCTCTGGCTGGTGGTGGTGGTGGTGGGTGTGTGTGTGTGTGTGTGTATCAGCAGTGTGATGTGATTGGAGCTGACAGCACACTGGACTGTATGCACGGCGCTAAACTCCTGCACAAATTGGCCACAGCAGACTATTAAGAGCAGAGGCCTGTGCCAAGTGGCCTCATGCTGCTGTCACTAGTGATCTGAGTGACGAGGAGTTTTACACAACGCTGGGAAACTGCTTTTGTCTCCTCTATCCTGTCTCTTTACTCCTGTCTCCTCTCTCCTAGTTTCTTGTCTCCTCTTTCCTTTTCTCCTCTCTCCTCCAGTCTTGTATCTCCTTGTCTCCTCTTTCCTTTTCTCCTCTCTCCTCCAGTCTTCTGTCTCCTTGTCTACTCAGAACTTGACCTTCGAATAAAAGGATCTTAGGCCCATTCCCAGTTCTCTTTTGTAGCACCACTCTTAGTCCTACCGTTTCAACACGAGGGCTTAAGTGAAGGACTCCCCAAGTGCTATGTGCTGTTATTTAGGTTGAACTGCTTAGACTATTATGATCATCATAATATAATTATATTATAAGATACTATTATGCAGTACTACTATTTGAGCATATATCTTTTAATAATAATGCATTAGTCTTATAGAGCACTTTTCCAGATGCTCACTATCTCTTTGTGATTTGGTGCATTGTTCCATACCCGGAGGTGGTAAGCTACTCTTGTAGCCACAACTGCCCTGAGACAGACTGACTAAAGCCTTGGCCCCGTACCTTTTAGTATAAGAATTATTAAGCCTATTAAATATTGTAATCCAGTAATATGACATTTCACATTGCACAGTCCTTGCACTCACACCAGGGTGAATGCAGCTGGATATGACAGTGTGAGTGTGAGTGAGTGTGTGTGTGTGTGTGTGTGTGTGTGTGTGTGTGTGTGTGTGGGGGGGGGGGGGGGGGGGGGAGCTTAGTCCTGATCTCATGGTAGACCCGGACAAATCCTGGATCTCAAACAGGCCCTGGTCCTGCTTACACAGCACCTGTCTCTGCTCTTGTCTCTGCTCCTGTCTCTGCTCCTGTCTGTGCTCCTGTCTGTGCTCCTGTCTGTGCTCCTGTCTCTGCTCCTGTCTGTGCTCCTGTCTGTGCTCCTGTCTGTGCTCCTGTCTCTGCTCCTGTATGTGCTCCTGTCTCTGCTCCTGACTGTGCTCTTGTCTCTGCTCCTGTCTCTGCTCCTGTATATGCTCCTGTCTCTGCTCCTGACTGTGCTCTTGTCTCTGCTCCTGTCTGTGCTCCTGTCTCTGCTCCTGTATGTGCTCCTGTCTCTGCTCCTGACTGTGCTCTTGTCTCTGCTCCTGTCTGTGCTCCTGTCTCTGCTCCTGTATGTGCTCCTGTCTCTGCTCCTGACTGTGCTCTTGTCTCTGCTCCTGTCTGTGCTCCTGTCTCTGCTCCTGACTGTGCTCTTGTCTCTGCTCCTGTCTCTGCTCCTGTTTCTACTCCTGTCTCTGCTCCTCTCTCTACTCCTGTCTCTGCTCCTCTCTCTGCTCCTGTCTCTGCTCCTGTCTGTGCTCCTGTCTCTGCTCCTGACTGTGCTCTTGTCTCTGCTCCTGTCTCTGCTCCTGTTTCTACTCCTGTCTCTGCTCCTCTCTCTGCTCTTGTCTCTGCTCCTGTCTGTGCTCTTATCAGCTAATGTAGCCTCCTTTGACTGTCCTTTAAATCTATAATCCTTTGGTCCATTTTAGGACAGGCAACATGTTGAACCTAGTTAGTAATTACAGAAATATTAAAGGTACACTGTGTCATTTTTCTGGTGCTGCGTCTGCTTGTTTCCATGGTGATGTTATTGCTTTGCCAGGAATGACCAACAGTATTAAACATATCTATCTTGCATGTTTTCTTTCTTCATTCTTACTACTATAAAGTGTTCTTACTGTGAGCAGGCTGCCTCTCCACAGATCTGACGTGTAACTTGGCTTGTTAATGGTAACTGGTCCAGGACAAATATATGCATTTTAAATTTTTAGTTTCCAAATCTAGATATTTTAAAGAGGGATCTGTCTGCAGACCTCCTCTCAGAGGACTCTCATGTTTCCTGACCACTGTTTTACATAAAACACCCAAACCCTTTCCCCAGCCTGAACCATAACAGACATGTGCCTAATCTGAACCAGACAAAAGCCCACAGCAACATACATGGACAACACACATTTGTATTTATGCCATTGTATTCTTCATGTTTACAATAAAGTGTTATGTGTTTATTCCCTCTACAAGCAGAGCAGAGCAGGGACAACACAAAGACACTTTCAGATTAGGTGGGGTGGGGTAGGGCCCTCTGGGTGGAGCCAGTCTCTCTTTGGCGTTTAGAGGAAGTGGGTGTGGTCTGGGTTATTGTGTGCTTTGTGTATTGCAGTCTACAGAGAGAGGAGAGGCTGTGGTTTTACCTGAGCCCAGAGAGCTTCTGATACTACACACTGTTGTGTGGACAGACAGCCCCTCAGGCACCGATGGTAAACAAAGCACTTTAAAGAAACTGTGTACATCCTGTGCTCTTACTGCTTTAACAAAGATTCTACAATCACAGATGAACCTGGGCAGCCACAGCCTTAACCTGCTGTTAATGTTTGTCTCATTCTCAGAATGTGAACAGGCCATGCCTCATGTGCCTCCCTGAGCTGCAGAGGCTGCACTAGCACTTACTTAAGACTGGTGCAGGTGCTGGAGTTTCGGGAGTGACCATTCAGATCAGAGAGAGACATTTAAGTTTAAATCAACTGGATTTCAGTGTTGAAACTGTCATTAAACATACTTACTTTTATTTATTCAATTACAGCAGTTTTATTGCCATATTTATAAAAATAGTTGCTTTGAGGCATTTGCTCATCTCTATGGAGACTGCCAAATTTTATGTATCTTTGTGGAATATTTCATTCAAAATAATAACATGGAGACAACCATAGAGAAAATAAGGTTTCAGACACTCCATGGTCAAATATGTATATTTATTATAATCACTGAGGCATGGACATTTACAAAAACTAAATACAACATGATGATGTCACACAGTGGCACAGAGTGTTTTGGGCAGAGAGGTAAGGACATGCAAATTCATCAATACCAATTGTTCTAAATGAGGGTATCGATACTGCTCTTAAAATACTTGCATATTATAGTTGCACTTTGTCACGTGAGATGTTGGCAGTGTGTTTGTGGAGCCCTTCCAAAACAAATAATGACTTTGAGATTGATTTGAACATTTGCATATTGTTTGCAGATATATAAGTAGATCCCTGCCCTCCATCTGAGACATGGGCAATTCTTTTCACCATGAGGCCACATAAGAAACAGAAAATACTGTGGAGGTCAAAATGCGTCACTCAATTCTGCATAATCTGAATTGTGTTTCTTTATAAAAAGCAGTAAATATCATTGTTTTGATGTGCTGGTCAGACTGGGAAGAGTTTATGTTATGACTAAACAATGAAAAAGTGTGGCTGCCGAACAAAAAAAAAGTCATTTAAAAAAAAACACCTCTAAAATAAAACAAAGCAGCTTTAGACCATGCATGAGGTCAAATTATAAAAAATATTTATTTTGTAATTCCAAATGAGCTTAAACGGCCGATCAGAGTCAACCGAAGGGCTGTACGTGGCCCAAGAGCTGGACACTGGCCAGGTCTGATCTGAGATTAGGTTGCAATATCATACATACTGTATATACTCTTTAAGAGCATTACTAGAACACTGCTGTGCACTTTCTCAGAATCATCTGTGTCTTATGCTAAAAGGAAACAGAAACATCACTCCACACCTTTCAAAAAATACCAACACATGCACGACTTTTCTCTCATGCACTCTCTCCCAGAGTGCTCAAACTTGTGGGACCGGCCCGGCAGAGCAGAGCCACGCCCCTTTTCAACAGAACCACGTCCCCTTTAAGACGAGCCCCCCCTTCCCACAGCACCACGCCCCTCTGTGTGCAGGTACATCCGGCCCTGAAACACACGCACACACAAACATACACACAGGAGAGCAGAGGATGAAGTAAACCTACAAGAGACGAGCACTCGCAGGTAAGAACTAAATGAATTTTCAAGGTTTGTCATGAAGTTTTATGTTAAGTTTTATGAAAAATTCCAATTAGTTCGATAGTTTTATTACCATGAATAATAGTACATATGTGCTATGATGAAATAAAATACAGTAAATCAAAACAGAAATGGACTAATATGGTTAAACTGATTTCAACGTTTTCTGCAGGTCAGTCTGACAGCAATCTGTGCTAAGACTGTTGAGTTTTTTGACTGGTGCAAACTTACATAAAACATACATAAATAATGTGAATCCAAAAAATCCTGAAACTAACTAAGAAAACTCAAAAATAGAGTGTTAGAGTTTAACACATATTTATGCTACTAATAAATTGTGTGCGCACATCAGTATTTTTATTTATTTTTGTATGACTGGATATTGAACAGCATAGCTATGGTTGATTTTTTTCTATTACTTTAACGGTGTTCATCATCATGTGTTAAGTGAATGTACTCCTGTGGTTATGTGGTTGTGTGATGGTTCACCGTGTACTTGTGTGTACTCTGACTCTCACTCTTGCCAATTCAGACCTGTTCAGAATACCTTAAACAAGTTTATATCTTAGACAGACCAACTAACGCCTGTAAACCTGTACTACAACAGCAACAACAACTACTACTACTACTGCTACTACCACAACCACCTATATCTTCTGATGATAATGATACTACTACTACTACTACTACTTTTACTAGTACTGGAACTATAACTACACTACTAAACTACTGTTGCTGCTGTTACATCTACTACAACTATTACTATGGCAACTTTTACTGTATTACTATATTACTACTGCTTTTACTATTATTAGTAGTGTTATTACTATTATTACTACTGCTTTTAACAGTACTGGAACTATAACTATACTACCTCTGCTATTACCTCAACAACAACAACAACTACAACTACAACTACAACAACTACTACTACTACTACTACTACCACCACCACTACCACTACTACTACTACTACTACTACTACTACTAATTCTGCTGATATTATCACTGTATTGCTGTGGTCCAAAATCACAGCACTTTCATGAGCTGTGCTTCATCAGGCTTTATGAAAAAAACATTTAAAACATGTTAGACTTGTGTTTACTCTGAACAGAGTCTGTGGTACAGTCACTTAAATGCAGCTTAACAGGTCTGACATGTGTGTGTGTGCGTGTGCGTGTGTGCGTGCATGTGTGTGTGTGTGAGAATTGGTTGTGGTACTTTTCATAACCTTACTCTTTTATATAAAACTATCACAAAGGATCAGCAGTTCAGGCCACAAGGAACCAGGAACTAAACAGCTCATTGACTGAGAAAAGCTGTAAGCTCATTCAATGTCAAGAGCTAGAATAACTGTGTTAGCTAATGTTGCTGGAGGGGCTAACAGTTTTATAAAACAAATGATCATTGTGATTAAAGTCTTGTTCATGAGTGAGGGGAGGATGGGGAGTGGGATTGACAGGCGGATCAGTGCAGCATCAGCAGTGATGAGGCTGCTGTTCGGACTGTATCGGACTGTTGTGGTGAAGAAGGACCTGAGTCCAAAGGCAAAGCTCTCAATTTACTGCTTTGTGTAATGACCCAAAGGACAAAATGGTGGATGCAAGCACTGAATAAGTTTCCTCTGCAGGGTGGCTGGGTGCTCCCTTAGAGATAAGGTGAGGAGCTCAGTCACAGTGGAGGAGCTCAGAGTAGAGCCGCTGGTCCGCCACATGGAGATGAGCAGTTGAGGGGAGGGCAATGCTTCCGGATGCTCCTGGACATCTCCCTGGAGAGGTGTTCTGGCCACCGGATGTCTCTGGGCTGGCCTGGGAACGCCATGGGGTCCCCCCGGAGGAGCTGGAGGAAGTGTCTGGGGTGAGGGAAATCTGGTAGTCCCTGCTTGAACTAATGCCCTCACAACCCAGGCCCAGATGGGTGGAGGATCATGGTTATTGCAGTTTGATCTTAGTGTGCAGCTGAAATAAACCAATGAATCAAACAGATGTAGTCCTCCTCTGCTCGGACCACTGATTACAGACTTACAGTGTCAGTTGTTATTGCATCTGTTCTGATTAACGGTGGAATATCTATCTTCTTGGACCTGTGTGTTTCAGAATGGGGAGTAACCAGAGCAGTGAGACACTGCACTGTAACCGCTACCTGAATGGACAGGGCCCCCCCTCGCTGGAGAAAGCAGGTGCGGCTCATATTACTGTATATCTGCTCTAATATTCCTGTACTCATATTCATACATATACGTGTTTGTGTAGCTCACTTGGGCCCCCCCACCCCCCGCACCCAGCCCCCAGGTCAGATGACATGGGTGGTGCTGCACAGAAATCTGCCGGGCTACCCCCATGACGACACCCTACAGGTCAATTTCACCTTCCCCGAGGGCGTGCAGATGGTAAGGGCGGTAACTGGAGCACCCACACAGGGCACAGACTAACTCACACTGTAGTTTAAAGCCCGGGGACCTGGACTACACACTGTGTGTTCTATAAAGCAAACTCTGAAAACCGCGCCCTCCAAAGGCCTATTTTTTCAGAACAATAAAATGACTTCCTGTTTAAATGAGCAGATAATATAATATATGAGAGGCAGGTTGTGTGGTCTTCTTGGGGCCATGTCTGGTTCAGTCCACATATGTTCTATGTAGTAGGTGTGCAGTGTTCTGTGAAGTCAGGAGCCTGTTTAATAATATTGTTTAACTCTAAATTACCTTTTAAATATAGAACATAAACATAAATGAGCTTTAAACACATCAGCCGCTGATCTAAACACAATCACACAAAACATGAAATGTTTGTTTCCTGTGTGCTGATTTCCCATGTTCTGGTGTTACAGGAGGGACACCCACATCCTGGGCAGCCCTACCCCGGCCTGCGCCTCTGTGCCTATGTGCCCGACAGCCGCGATGGCCGCAGGGTCCTGTCCCTCTTGGAGAAGGCCTTCCAGCAGCAGCTGCTCTTCACTGTGTCCACAAATGTCCACGGAGAGGATGTGGTGTCTCCTGCCTCTGTGCCCTTGAAGACCCAGCAGGAGGGAGGTGCTATCATGTGAGTCATGCAGGGATCTGTGCCTTGCTCTGGGCAATGTGCAGAATCTGCTGCACTATATATACTATAAGTTTCAGATGTAGTCACCTGGATCTCAAGACATTTTAACTGTCATCCAGAAGTAATTTTCATCAGAAGGTACTGGCCTGAGAATGTCTACTGCCTGGATAAGTCCTTCCCTGAGGGAAGAGGTACAGTAGGCAGGAGTCTTGATTTAAAAAAAAAAAAAAAAAGGCTTGTAAAACCTTCTACTGGATGAATGACTGATCCATAGTGTACTTTAGTGCTCTAATTTGTTTAGAAAAGCTTTTCTTGAAGTGTACACATCTCTGCTTCCCCAAAGCTTGTGCTGTGCATATGTGCATGTAAATATTTCTCTTCTCTTTGCTTTTGTATATAGTTTATAGGGGCACAAATGTTCAAGCAGCGTTCACATTGGATCTGGTGATGTCATGATATGTGTACTTTGGTCCTTCATGAATGTACTAGTACACACTGAGTGCTGCTGTTGTTACAGGAATGGTTACCCAGACGAAGACTACCTGAAGAAAGTGAGGGCCGTCCTGAAGGAGAAGCTCAATGAGTGACCAAGAGAGAAGAGGTTTATGAAGCACTGACCAATCAGAGGAGAGGCTTATGAAGCACTGGCCAATCAGAGAAGAGGTTTATGAAGGATCGACCAATCAGAGGAGAGGTTTATGAAGGATAGATCAATCAGAGATATCCGAGAGTTTGACCAACAGTAAAGGACTGTGACATGCACCAAACCCTGTGCTTTTGACAATGTGATATTTCCGTGTACCACTGTAACTGTGCTGTGTATTTGTCCCGTGTGTGTGAGCTGTGGGCTCTTGTACAGAATATAAAGAGGTACAAATGTGGCCTGTGTTTTCTGGAATAGTCTTCAGTGTAATTTTGAACCATGGGTTTGGAATAGTGTTCTGATCCCAGTTCATCTCTGTAAAAGCTTCAAGCAGAGCCACTGCCCCTCTGCTCCTCCCTCCTCTTCCTCGCTCCTCTATTCCTCTGCTCCTCCTGAGGTAAATCACTAAAATGTTCCTGTACTTCTGTTTATGGACTCAGAGACATGCAGCAGACATTGTTTAGACTGAATCAAAGTCTAACAGCGTGACTGATAACAGTCCTCTGATCAGGGACAGGGAGGGACAGAAGAATAGAGGGACAGTGGAGGGACAGGAGGTCAGAGGAGGGACAGTGGAAAGGACCGTTCACACTGATGCTCAGGACGAGACCATGTCTTAGACGTTAGTATAAAAGGCCTATGAGGGCCATTGTGTGAGGACAAAGTGAGCCCCCAGGGGCCTGGCCCCTGATGTGTGATAAGGGCCCGGCTATGGCCCTATGGCTGTGTATGGCACACACGTCTAAAGGTCCAGGCTGTGGGTCCTCAGACCCCTGCTTCATCAGATACCGAGCAGATACTGGGTCTGTGTGTGACAAAGAACAGTCGGACTATGGCCTGATTTCAGAAGGGCCCCTCAGTGTCTCACACAGATACACGTGTTTCATGATTCTTGGGGACATTACATTCATTTTTTGGAGACTGATGTGAACCTTAACCATAGTCACTACAAACCTAACCTCTCGAACCCCTCCCTAAACCCTATAACCTTAATCTAAACCCTAACCTAAACCATGACTTCTCACTCTTCTCCCTCACATTAATCTGTTTTAATCCATCTGAACTTTAGACTATGTTTTACTTTTACATTGTCAAATCCTGAGCAACTGAGCAGGTCTGGGCCTGCTGCCACATAAAACCAATGATGAATTTATGTTTTTGATAATAAAGAAATTACATCATGGGAACCTGATATCTGTCCTCACAGGGGCCACGATGTGAGTGTGTACAGGTTTGAGTCCTCACACTGTGATAAATAGTGTCCCACACACTGGCTGCAGATCAGATATTCAGAGCGATGCAGACAGAGCTGCACTGTCCATGTGAATGTGTTGATAGAATACATTTTGAAAATAAAACTAACCTTGCATCACATGAATTGTTGCATGTTGAGGAATTATTTTCTCATATATCAGTCTGCTGCTGCCAAGCTTTCTATCAGTAAGTAGAACTCACTGCTGCTCAGACATAAATCCATCGAATGCAAGGTTGGTTTTACTTCTAAAATTATTCTATCAACACAGACATTTACATGGACAGTCTGGTGTAATAACAGATTTGCTTCAGGTGTTTTGTGGAGTAGGCAAGTTTTTAGTGGCAGGAGAACTATGGCCATTGACATGCACTAGTCTAGCACCAGCGACCTCTGCAAATACAAGGACTAGATGGAATATTTCAAAAAGTGTCTCAACACGTCTCCAGCACTCTGGCTCAGTAGGAAATGAGGTCCTATGTCCAAAATTTTGAACTGTCTCTTTAAGTTTGCTTGGTATGGGAGAGGTGGCGATGCCACCACAGGGGTGAGGCTCCAGCCTACACCCACTGCAGAGCTACAGTGTATATGCAACAGTAGAATTCAAACTCAAAAACTTGACAACAGCACTGAGCCTGTAAGAACAGTGCAGTTAATATTATAATTACATAAATCACAATTATACAATACGATAAAGGTTAAAAGTGATAACTCCACAATTTGGACTGTTAGGACCCTTTAAAGTGAAAAAAAAAGAAAGTACAATTTAGTCTTTTGACAGCGTGGCAAAAGGAGAAATTCACTTTGTCAACTGGACAAAAGTTTATTTAGTCGAATACGCTTCGGAGCTCATCCAAGCTGCTTCTTCACTTCAGGGGCCTCATTTATAAAGAATTACGTAGGAGTTGTTGTAAGTTAGTGCGTCGCACCTGCAACTAGAGTTTGCTCACGTAAACCCACATCACCATAAAAGGAGCAGGTAAAGTGACTGGTGAATGAGATTTCCCTCAACATGAGCCGATAATCAGTGGGCTTGACCGAGACACGCGGGACAGAGGGAGGAGGACGCTCCACGCAGCACCACGTGATCACGACAAAGACTTAAACATGGTTTAATAAATAAATACAAAAGTAAAAGTGACAACAATGACTCATCTGTTCATTTAATCATATTTCAGAATATTTAGGCAGCACATCTTTGCAGTAAAGCCGAATTGTTTTCTTGCTATTTCAAGAGTTTTATCGCTATATTTTTAAGTCTGTCTATGAAGTGTGTGTGGACTGGCCCTGTATATTTATGCATTTACATTTAGATACGTACACGCGCTGATCTGAATGGTCAAATTATGAGCGCGTGCGAGAGATTCAGATGCCCTCCCCTGGAGAGCGAAAGGAGCGAGAGATAAGAGATTACGAGGACACAGATTTAGCACGAAACACATCAGATACAGATGTTATTCTGCCAATTAAAATCCACACGAAACATCCAAACTGCTCACCTGTGAGTGTGGGTCTGGGTCGAGACGGGCACGGGCATTATTCTGTTCTTCATACTGTCAGAGAGCAGCTCTCATGTGCAAGAGTTCCCCATTACACAAAAATGTAGGTAATATTTAAGGTTCGAGTCAGGTTCGGACAGTAGGCTTCGTGTCGTGCGCAGACTCAGGTCACTCTGGCGCTCGGTGCGTAAAGACTAAAGTAAAAGTGTTAAAATTGTCTTCATTAAATCAAAGCCTGGCTCCTGCTGCGTCCAAGGGAAGATTTTTTCTCTCAGGTCGGGTCATTATTTCGTCCTCTGTGTTGGTCACAGACTGTGTTCTGTAGAAGTCTATGGTCGCGGTGTGGACTGTGGCAGACCCTGCGCTACACCGGGAACGTGGCCGCGCTCGTGCACGAGTTTCAAATGTATAATATGATGGTGAATAATGAGTGGAATAAACAGCACTTCTCCCTGTTTTGACGAACCAAACACTTAAATGCACAAATCTGAAGGTCATTCTTTTAAATACGTGGATTTTCTGTTAAAGCAAAGCGCCACGCTTAAATCCAGTTTCATAAATACCGCGGTTGGCGTAAAAAGCGCGTACACAAGGATTTGTGCGTAAGTGCGCTTTATAAATGAGGCCCCAGGTCGGGATGCGGGTGGATCAGAAGTGGAGAAGCAGCTTGGATAAGATGAAAAACGTATTTGACCAAATAAACTTTTGTCTAGTTGACAAATTAAATTTCTCCTTTTGCCATGGATTCTTCTTGGACAACTGAGGGATTTTACACACTTGTCACAGCAAGATTAAAATATACAAAACAGATTTATTTGGCTCACCAAAAATAACCACGTGTTAGGCCTAGGAAGAGGAAGTGAGCTTGTGCACTTCTGACCTTTACCTTTACCGCATGATCAGCCACCCTGCCACATACACTTATAATCATATGCACTCGATGCCTTGATTGATTAATTAGCATCATATTTTTTTCTTAAAATTTCTATCACTTTTCCCATTTAAAGCCATCTCTCTCCTTAACCTCCCCTGACACGAGGCGCTTTATTTTTTCTGCTTTCCTTAAATGCTGTTATGTGAGCAGACTGCTTCTATCCTTATCCTGGGTTCCAGTGTCCTCCAATCTCTCCCCCTTTTCAACCCCCCATACCACCCCCTCCAAATTAAAGAGCCTAATGAAACCGCGTGTGTCTCATTTGTCACTTCAGGGTGCGCTGATGACACCCGCCCGCCGGCACCCCTCGTCCTATTCTCTCACAAATTGGGATTATGCAAAAACACTTGGGTCTTTTTCATTGTTGTCTTTTTCATTGATCTCTTGTTTGACAAATATACCTGAGCGTTACACGGCACTGCTAAGCCCCTCCCCAGGCTACAGGAGCCGTGTTATGACACAACAGCTCCTCGGCCAAAATGTGTCCTCCAATTCACACAGGTTTTCTTCACGTTATAACAGACGGGGTATTGAGTAAACAGTTGTCAGTGATCCACATCAGAGTCCTGCCCGAGTCGGGTACTACAGATAGTTGCTGAAATGGGCTGGTTCCAACATTCTGGAATTTTACTGGCGAGTATGAGGGCGGGTAGAGATGACACACAGTCAGGTGAATCAAATGAACGATGAACGGGAGAAAAATACATGACATCTGTTGCCCTGGCAACAAGGGTAGTTATTTTGTTATAATTTGGTGCTGTGGTTCTCCAGATATATGTGGTCATACCAGCTTGTCATCCCATCAGATCTCAGAAGTTCAGCAGAGCAGTCTATCCCAGGGCAGCTGTGGCTACAGTAGTAGTTTACCACCTCTGAGTGTGGAGCAAATGAACAATGAACTGTAAAATGCTTTGGGTGTTTTGAAAGGCACTATACAAATGCAGTGATTAATTAAAGACAATTATCCAATCAGAAATCAAATGAGCCTCATGTGAGTCTCTCATTTGTGTTGACAGTTTCAGTGTTGAAATCCAGTTGGTTTAAACCTAAAATGTCTCTCTCTGATCTGAACAGTCACTCCCTAAACCCCAGCACCTGCAGCATCATGAGTCAGTGCTAGTGCAGCCTCTGTAGCTCAGGGAGGGAATTTTGGAAGTTCTGAGTTTTCACGTTTATGTCTCTCATGCAGGTTACTGGCAACTAGTGCTGTCATATACTAAATTTCACTAAACTTGATTTTGATACTAAGGAATAGACTCAATACCGATTCCAATATCACTGTGATAAAACAAACAAACAAAAAAAAAGAACTTTTCGTCTTTTGTTTTTTGTCTTGTATTTATTTTCTATTCCCACGTGGCCTTACGTTGGTATATGTTATTATATAGATTATATATAATGGTCAGTGGTGCAGTAGGTTCATGTTGGTCCATGTGTGTGTACTAGTCTATGTGCTCTGACACTTGTTCTGATACAACTCAACATCATTTTAAGACATTCAGGAAACTGTGAATGTAACTCCTGCTCAGATCAGTATTTCAATACTAGTTTTAGTGTTGATTAGTATCAGATTTTTGATACTTTTGACAACTCTAGTCAAAATCATTTTTGAAACTGCAGGGGGTAACATTTTGGCAGTGGGGAAGCTTCATGAGAGAACAGGGGCCCCGGCAATGGTGAGGAGAGGAGGAGGTGATATTGTGTGGTGCCAGAAGACAGATTTGACAGGTGCGATGGACCTGCCACAGTGCGACGGATTGAGTGTCCAGGCGAAAGTGCTTTAAAGAAAGAGCCAGGGTGACTACGGCGCCCCCTGATGAGATTAGGCGTTATTGTGGGCGCGCGGACCTGCAGCTAATTCAATTGGAGGCTAGCATCAGGCCCGAGGTAAAGACGAAAAGTTCAGGCCAGGCAATATAAAGGGGGGGAGGGGGGGCAAATGGAGTGCTCAAAGACTGCACAGGAGTTGTTATATTTTTATACAGAGGGCTGAAGGGATGGTAGACATGTGGCTCCCAGGGGCCCCCAGCCTCTGTGTGTGTGTGTGTGACAGGACACACTGTGGGTGTCTTGGTGTGTGGGTGTGGGAGGGGGAGCAGTCACGAGTCAGTTTTCCTCTAGAGATGTAATTGTAAAAAAGTTGGGACAGAAGGTGGTTTATGGTCGGGTTTAGCTCAGACAGCGACAGATGAGATGTTTCTGTTGATGGATGTGGATTTGGTGAAACATACTACAACTACAACTGTAGAGAGACGACACATCCAAGTGTGTCTCATAAAGTCATGTCTCATGTGAAGCTCAGAACCTCCAGAATTCCCTCCCTGAGCTGCAGAGGCTGCATTAGCACTGACTCATGACTGGTGCAGGTGCTGGGGTTTAGGGAGAGACCATTCCAATCTGAGAGGGTTGTTTTAGGTTTAAACCAACTGGATTTCAGCTCTGAAACAGCCAACACAAATGAGAGATTCATGTGACACGTAGGTCTGGGTGATTTTGCCTGAAAAGAAAATTGTAAATTTTTTTCTCCCTCTCCATAGAAAATGTTCTGCAAAGTACAGAAAATGATCAATTCTGAAAATAATGTTTTCCGTGAGCATACTGAGTCCATTGGCCATTGGGGAAA